AAGCCTGGGGGTGAGCCGCAGCTTCCCGCTGTGAGGGTTCTGCCCAGGGCCGGGGCCTGAGGGCCTCCATGGTTAGGGAGAAACGTGTGTCTGCGGTGGGTAGTTTCAGCTCCGTGACGTGGTGTCTGCGTTACCCACGACACAGGTTTGGGAAGCCTCCTGAGGCGGGTGGAAGCGTGAGGCTCCGGTGAGATCTGCCCGCTTGTCCTGCTTCCTCCGCTCCTGCATTCTGCCAAGCCCAAGCCAAAGCAAGCACAGTCCTATAGACAGGGCTTGGGACATAGCCTTCACGTTATAAAAGAAACTTAAGGTGAGTCTGACTGGCAACGTAAGTCTGGGAGACTTTCCTTTCGGGAAAAACGTCTAGAACAAGCAGTTGAATCACTAAACAAGTTTAATCAAGAGGTCTTGTGTTGAGTCAACCTCTGCTGGCTGCCAGGTGGCCACCAAGATGCTCTGTCACTCCTCCTCCTCAATAGGATGGGGAGAAGGTATGAATAAAAGCTCTTGGGTTGAGATATGGACAAGGAGATCACTTACCAGCTACCATTACAGTCAAAACAGACTAGACTTTGGAGAACTTTATTTCCCATCAAATCAAGAGTAGGGTAATGAGAAATAAAGCTAAATCCTACAAACACCTTCTTTCCACCCCTCCCTTCACACCTGATTTTCTCTATCTCCTCCCTTTTAGCAGCACAGGGAATGGGGGTTGTAGTCAGTTCATCACCTGTTGTTTCTACCACTCCCTCCTTGCACTGCTTCAGTGTGAGGTCCTTCCCATGGGGGACAGTTCTTCATGAAGTTCTGCAACATGAGTCTTTCCCACGGGTTGCAGTTCTTCATGAACTTCTCCAGAATGGGTCCCTTCCACGGGGTGCACTCCTTCAGGAGCAGTAAGTCCCCCACAAAGTCACAAGTGCTGCCACCAAACCTGCTCCAGCATGGACTCCTCTCTCCATGGGTCCACAGGTCCTGCTAGGAGCCTGCTCCAGCACAGGCTTCCTGCAGGGTCACAGCCGCCTTTGGGCATCCCTGTGCTCCAGCATGGGCTGCTGCAGGTGGATCTCTGCTCCCCCATGGAACTTCATGGGCTGCAGGGGCACAGCCACCTCACCATGGGCTGCACCACAGGCTGCAGGGGAACCTGTTCTGGCACCTGGAACACTTCCTCCCCCTCCCTCTGCACTGACATAGAGTTCTGCAAAGATGTTTCTGTCACATATTCTTACTCTCCTCTTCCAGCTGCTGATGTGCAGCAGTTTTTACTCTTTAACTATATTACCCACAGATACTACCACTGTTGTGGTTGGGCTTAGACTTGGCCAGTGGCAGGTCTGTCTTGGAGCCAGCCGGAACAGGCTCTCGGACATGGCAGAAATTTCTGGCATCTCAGAAGCCATTTCTGCAGCCCTCCTGCTACCAAAGCCTTGCCATGCAAACCCAGTACAGCTGTGTGCTTTCTGACTTGATATATGTCTCTGGCTAAGAGTGCCAATAAAAAAGTCCTTATGTGTGGAATATAAAATCAGAGTAGGTATCTTTGTGACCTCTTTAAATCTTTACAAACATTTAAGCTTTATTTGGTGTATTTTTTTCTTACAGACCTATTTGACAGTTAAGTCGATTTAAACCTGGAATATTGCCATGCAAAATAGGAAATGCATTTGTGATTCATAGTGGCAAAGAGTCTAAATGTTTATTTGATTCATACTGGGTCTGTGTAACTTTCATTACATTTGTTTGGTTTTTTCCTTATGATCCAGGACTTCAAGATGACAGGAAGAGAGTTTCTTGAACTAGATTCTCCACAGCAAGGACTATTTTTGGACAGACTTAAACGGATGGAAATCATAGAAAAGATGTTTAATGAGCTTCCTAAAGCAGATCAGTAAGTGCTGGTAAAATAAATGAAGATAAGTGCATCAAACATTTCAAGTCTTTTGGAGGCTTTTCTTTTTTCCTACTCATGTATTACAAATTTTCATTGCAGTTACAAAAATAGTTAATTGTGAAGATGCTTGTTATTGTCCAGAACAGAAAACCTGGTTTGTGTTTTTCCAATATGCTTAGTTCAGTGTTAGTTGTGGTCCTGCTCAGCTGGTTTCTGGCATATGCTTCCCAATGCTTAGGGTTCTGGGATGGCTGATCAGCCCTGACTGGCTCTGAGCATTCACACAGTCCTGTGCTAGAGCTAATACATTTTCTAGGAAACTGAAATGTGATTCTGTTGGAGTCATCTTGTGTCCAGCAGGGCTGGCCTGGGGCCAGCACTGAGTAAGCATCAACCTGCTGGTTTCTGGATTTCATTCTGCACCACTTGCCATTTCAGGAAGACTGAGATATCCAGGTGGTGGTGGAAGAGTCAGCTGGAGTCCTGCAGGCTCACCAGCAGGGTTCTGTGCAGCACAGAGCCAGCTAAATGCCTTCTGGGCCTCCAAAATGACCTTTTCGTGTTTTGTGATATTGCATTTCACTGCAAAACCTTGCTGGACTTGAGCTGGTTCTGTTAGGAGCCATTTGTATGTGTATCAGCTTGGATAAATTCTGTATAAATAAGAGTCAACGGATGCTTATTTTATTTATATTTTTTTAATAGGACTAAATTGGTGACTAAACAAACTGCTGGTAGTAACACAGGGCCTCTCCATACAGGTGAGAAAGAATAACACCAAGGCTTTATCCCTGCTGTTGCAGCCAGAGGTGAAATTTTGTGTAGGATGTGCTGCCCTCACGTTCAACTACCAACCCTCTTCCTTCCCTAGGAGAGCAGGGGAGTACCATGTCACTACTGGTACCTCAGTGGTGATGTGGTAACATCTGGATAGAAACTGGTACTTAAGGATGCTGGGGCTTGGAAAGAGCTAGCTACCAGACCATGGCAGGACTTGAAGTTTGTATATCCAGAGAGGAGGTCACTAGTGGCTGGAAGGGAAGAGCAAGCACACTGCAGTCAAACTGAGAGAGCTCCTGTTCACCAAAGCACTTGTTTCTAACGCTAGGGAGCTAGTATTGCAAGCAAACAAACAAAAAAGCCCAAACCCCAACCCTTCCATCCTCCCTTTCTTTCCTTTTGCGCAGTGCAGCAGTTCTGTGCATCACTGAGCCTGAGGAGATTCTGCTGGTCCTGGGTACTGGTTAACTGGCTCTGGTTTGGATACTTAAATATGCTGCTAAAATTTTAAATCTCTGTCCTCCAGATTTCTGTATGTGCCAGCCTGCGTTTCATTGCCTGTGACTGTACACAGCCCAACAGAATGAAATGGCTGGGAACACTCTGAGAATAATGTCTTGTATTGGGAGAATGGTGATTTGAAAAGCAAATTTCTTTTTAAAACAAAACACAAAATAAAGAAGCAGAGCTCCTAAATTAGGCCAAAAGATCTGACCAGTACAGCTCTTTTGCTGTATATATATATAGCATCAGAATGGAATTTTTAGTAGCTTATTTTCATGTTTGAAAGCCTGGTATGTACCAAGAATGAAGGTATTTTCCTATTCAAAAGGAGAAATAGTTCTTGTCCTTGATGTCAGACGGTTTTAATGCTTTAGGTTTTGCAAGATTAACAAATAAGTCTTTTTCTGTATGATTTTTTTCAGTGCTTAATACTACTCTAAGCATTAAAATGTAAAAGGAATTTTAAGCAGACTCTTTTTTTTTTAAATTATGTATTTTAATTGCTAAATGGTTTGAAGACTGACACTTCTTAAAATTTTGCAAATAAATGCAACATTTGGCCTAGCATAAATTTTGTGACTGGTTAAGCATTTTATTTTCTTTGGGGCTATAGTGATAAATCCAACTTATAACACATTTTAAAAATACACTTTTGCCATAATTGTATTGGCAGAGCCTCAGAATCAGAGTTCCTTCCAGGCAATTGCTTTGCCTGGCAATAGCTGTCATTCTGTGTATTTTAGATTTGTGAAAACCTAAAGCAAAGAGTTGTTCCCACTAACCAGGTGGCTGTGCCAGGTATAATGCTAAAGGTAATTCACAGCTTCCTTCTGCGAGTCAAATGCAATAAATCACAAACTGCTCATCAGCCTGGACAACTGGCACACTTGCCTGTTCCCTCTCTGCTGTTACCTGCTGGTATGTGATGTACTCAAATGGGAACTGTTTGTCAGGATATTAAATGCTGCTGACTCTGACCAGACTTAGTTCTGTTCTGCCTTCACCATACAACAGATTGCAACAGGAGTAGCTGCTCTAAACCATATGTTAAAAATATGGTAGATAACAGAATCCAGACCCTCTGTTATCAAGGGAGAAATAGAAGCTCCCATTCTGTAAGCTAGTACATTGGACTTCTGTAGCCTTTAACTAGCAAGGTAGGACCTTAAATCCAATGTGCTCCTTGCACACAAGGAAGGCTTACTGCCCTTCAGCATACAGGATCACTACAAATGATCACCAGCAGCTGCTGAGATTGTTACTGCAAAGTCTCAGTTGCTGCAGTTGTCCCACCTGGGATGTTCTGTGAGCTCTTATGTTGAAACTAAATCTATGCTTTTGGGTATGGAGGCTAGAAACAAGGCTAATTACAGGAGCCAGCTGTGATTATATATATTTATTTATTTATTAATTTCTCTTCAGAAAACATTCTCCTTAGAAACATGCTGATTAGGAGAGCAAATTTAATGAAGTTTCCATTAGCTATAATAAATGAAAAAAAAATCGTAGAACAGGCTTCTCGACTTTTCTGTCACTTCACTCTTGAAGTGCATGTAAACTCAGGCATGTAGCAAAGGCTGGACTGGTTACTTTTGGTTGCTCTCGGTTTTGCACTAGTGAGAGATTTACATCTCTTATCCCTCCCTGTATCATATTCAGAAGAGAATTGTAGCACTGAGTGAACACTTTACAGTTCTCAGTTACTGAAACAACTTTCCTTCTTTCACAGGAACCTTTGCAATCATGGACCATACTTCCTAGCAGCAAATTCAAGCTTATGTGGTTTAGCAGCAAATAATTTCTTAAGGAAAATCCTACATGTCAGAAAGGCTTCCATAGCGTCTGCTCTGCCAATGGCTGCAATTCCATTCCTTTCAACAGCAGCAGTTTTTGACGTTTTTGTGCGTGACCCTATATTTTCAGGTAAAAAACTCTTTATTCCTTGTTTTCAAAAGGGCTTTGCTTTCCATACACAATGTAACACTAGAGGAGCTTTTTCTCCCTGCAAAACAGTGCTTCTGAACTGTTGTGGTCTTGAAAAACCTGTTTGTAAAGCAGGGTTTGAAAACCAGAATGCATCAGGTAGCAACGAGCTCTTGGAGTGGAAAAGGAGATACATATGTTTGTATATCTATAAAAAGTTTCTGTTACACATGGCTTATTTTTAGCATTTTTCACTCAAAGTCACATAAAAGTGACTGCAACTAGGCAGTTCAGTTTCCCCTGTCTGTACAATTTCATTTGAAGGTCAGCTTTGGAGTGATAAATTCTTCATGAGTTGGAAAGGGAGTGATTTTTTTTTTTTTTGCAAGAGGGAGAGTCTTCCTTTCATCATTTCTTGCATACCTGTACAGCTTGGCAGTTTCTGCCAAGAGCTTGTTTCCATGGTCTTGCATGCAGCTTATAAACTGATGTGGTGGAGCATGTGGATATTGACAGTGAAATGTTGTTTGCCATGCAGGGCAGCTGAACTGTGAGGTCTGCGCTGTGGTCCGAGGAGGATTAGTAGGGGCTGTTGTGGGTGGTCTCTATCCCATTTTCATGTCTATCCCCTTGAATGCAAGTCTTGCAGCCAGGTACGTCTTATTAACCTGCAATGAGTGAAATGTATTTCTGGGTTAAATCTCCAGTTCTCAGTGTAAATTCTGTGGATTCTGTGCACACCTGTCTTCTTGTAGGCATTTAGTACATAGGAGAGGAATTACATTAAGGTCAACTAATTAGAAGGTGAAGTTCATAAGAGCTACACCAAGCCTCCAAAGTGAAACAAGATCTGCAAAGTGATCCACTGTGAAGCACTTGCATTCAGCTGGAACCATACAAGCCACCCAGGAAGTGCCTGGGTGTGTGCAAGGGTGACTGCCATCCTGCCAAGCAGTGTAAATGGCTGAGACCTCACTGCCCCTGGGCAGTGCCCAGCAGCCAAACTCTGGCAGGTGTCATTCTGTGTAACTCAGAGCGCAGCAAGGGGATGCCAAGGCTTGGCAAGACTCAGTATGTGGTCAGGATGTTTTGTAGCATTTATCCAGAGAGCTCAGTACCACCAGAGGAACTTGACTTAGGAGAGAATGTCTATCTGCCTAAATATTTTTAATGTTCAATCTTGATGCTTGGATGGAAAAACAAAAGTAAGTTTCTGCCACTGTTTATGTTGTTTAGGTATATGTCATCTCCCTTGCCAGGGAAAGAAAATGTATTACGCTTCTGGCTCACAATTGCTCAGCCTGTCTTTAGAAAGATGAGTCTGGGTGTGCTGATACAGGCTCTAACTGGATTGTATCTTGCCACTAAACAACATGGAGTGTATATCAAAATACTGCAGCAGATGAGTACTAGCAGTGATCCTGAACTGCTTCAAGAATGAAGTTAAACAACTTTTCAATTGCCTTGGATAAATAACCACAATAAAAAAGGAGATGAAGTTGTTGCTTGTTGTCTTCTTTTAACAGAAAAACAAAGTTAAGACTCTGCACTGGCATTTTTCAATTTTGAACTAAATGCGGGTTAAGTTTTTCATTATGTCCAGCTTAGTGTATACACCTGAATAACAGCTTTACAGACAGGTGTGTTTCTTTGAAAATGAGAGCGAAAATAGCATTTATAGTGCCTGCTTAGTGTTTGACTCTAAGGTGATGCTACATCCTTTAGAGGCTGAGTATTTTTGAAAAAAAGGGGTTATTTTCTTCATAAGGCAAACCAGAGATTTTTTTTTAAAAAAACATAGAGAGATCAAGGCAAGGTTTTTCTAGAGATTTCTCAAAATCCAAGTGTTTTTCTCACTTTTCTGCATTCTGCTAGGACAAAATTTCTCTCACAAGATTATCCCCTTTAGACTGTTACAAGGGTCACACTGCACAACATAGGGAACAGTTACCACTGAGCAATCAGGAGTGATAACTCATGTTAGGCTTCCCAGCACACGTTATCAACCAACCAAAACTCAGCCTGACAAGAGCACACTATGTCCTTGTAACTGTTTTGCCTTGAAATTATTCTTTTCCCAAAGGATGGAACTGTGTCAAGAGCGCTGGTGCTGTTATTGTAGCATCTCACCTCTTGTCCTAAGATCAGTGGTCCAGAGTAATGCATTTATGAGTTGGGGTGTCTTCATGTTGGTGCCTATGTTCTAGAGCACTGTAAATTGCCCATTCTCCCACTGCATTAGGTATATTTAGTGTATTCTACTGTTTGACAACTAAATCAGAGAGTAATTTTTCTACAGAAGTAATTCTCTCAATCTGACATGTGGTTTTCACTCTAAAACCTGTACAGTTACTGCTCAACAGTCATGTACACTCCAATAAAATTTTATATCCCCTGAGATGCACCACATGGAAATACTAATGACAATTAAGAATTCAGCATTGAGACTTTGAATTGGGTTAAGATTTATGCTGTAACACTGACGAAAATTGCATTAAAGGAGTTTCACCATATTTATCTACCTTTTCCTCACAAATTTGTTGATACAGCAGGGAAATCACACTGTCTCTCTATAATCAGGATTAGCAGCCTGATTTGTACAGGGAAGCAGCAAAGACACACTACCTCTGCAATGGTTTGTTATACTTAAAATATTCTTAGTTTTCCTTAACTCAAAGTATTGCTGCATGGCATTCTCATACTGGTCTGCATCTAAACAGACAGCTTGGCCTTACCTTAATCACCTTGGCCTTGGAGATTCTCACGGAGCAAGTATTTTGCATGACAGTGACTTGTCATGTCTCCAGAAGCCGTCAGACTTTAACCAACAGAACCACTTACCTGTGACAATAAAAACATAAAATAAAGGTGTTATTTTGCAGTAGTATCTTTAAGAATGACAATGAATGACTTGGCTCAGTGATTATTGCAAGTGTTTATAACAAGATACAGCTAAATTAATGTAAACAGACTCAGGTGCTTTTTAAAATGCGAGATACCAAAGCATGTACTATTTTCATTTTGGTATCAGTTCAAGTGATAATTATCCTCAGCCATCAAAATGCATGCTCTGATGTTTAATGATCTGACTTGGACAAACCACATTGTTTCAGATACTCCTTTCTTAAGGTGAAGATTGTATGCAAATCACAAACAACAAAAAAACACATTCCTCGATGCTTTTAGTATGTTGCAAAGACCGATGCTTGTTTCCAGCATAACTGAAGAACACACATTGCAAGTATGTATTTTAAGTGTTTAGCATCAGTCATGTCACAGGTCAGCTGTAGAGGCCAGAAAGGTGGTGTGTTCATAGAAAAGGAAATTTTTCAGTTATACCCTGTGTACTTCTCCTTAAACAACTGGGGGAAAATGATCTCAGAAGTTAAATAAAGCCTGAAACCCTTTCAAAATTCCACAGGACAGCAGGACTCTGTCAGTCAGGTCTAGCATGCACATGTGGGGAGGAGCACCCACACAGAAACCTGGAAACACTCCTTCTGTTCTCACTTTCATATGTGGGGTATGACCTACCTCCAAGGTAGTCATAGGATGAGGTTTTACCAGTTCTTAGCCTCTGACCAACTGTAACAAGCTCCCTGCAAGCACTGTCTGAGTGAGAGTAAGTTTCAGTTGTATCCTTTCTTCCATTACTGCAGTAGAAGCAAGACAGCCACAGGCTACATGTCCCAGCAATAGCTTCCATTGTGTTCTTAGAGCCATGCGTGTGTCCAACCCATAACCTACAGCACTGGACTTCTGGCTACTCCAAGTCTGAATTACTGCCAAAGGAACACCTTGAGCCTGGTTAGAGATAAGAGCCAACAGCAATACTAAAAAAGCACTGATTTTATCTTCTAGATCTACCACTTTTGATGCTGAATCTCAACACTACAGTCTATTCCACAGCCTTCTGCAAATGACACCCTCATCTTCCTGTTATCCGCCCTAGTCCCACTCTTGGCATCCTCCTGCTAATGAGCACAGGCAGAATTATTTCTCCACATCTGCATATCCCACTTAAACTGGGTGGAAACTGTAGAATCAGCTGCTGGCAATGTGCACTTTTACTCAGGGTGTTCTTTAACCAGAGTCTATTTGAACAATTCCCATACCTAACATGCCCTTCAGGCATTTACAGTCTAACCAATAGCAAATACAGCCCCATAACCAGGATATTGCTGACTCTAGCAGAAAAACTCTTCAGCTACAAGCTCAGGATTTTAAAAATCAGTAAGTGTACAAAAGGCCTCTGTGTTTTGGAAAAGATCCCTATGTTTCACAGGGAAAAGTGATTAGTTTTGACAAATGGCATGAGAAATCTTATAATCTGGAAAGACCAAGAGATGCCAAGTGTTGGAATAGGGTTCCTTACACATTTCCTTTTATATCATCTCTCCAGTCAGAAGCACTGATTTGTTTTTTCCTCCTAGATGCTGCAAAGCTCTTCAGAGGAAAGGGAGAGAAGTTAATTTAGAATACTACTAAGAGTCACAGCACCAGAATCAAACTAAAGGACTAAAGTAGAACTGAGCATGAAATTGTTTCTTATTTGAATGCTAAATAAGAAACAAGTGACTCTGGGGTGGAGAAATACTGAAAAATGCAGATAGCATTGCACTGGCAGCACTTAGTTCTGAGGTACATACAGTTTAACAAACACATTTCAATGCTGAATAGGGTCTTTTGCACAAGTAGAGGCCAAAAAGGCAGAGCAAGCCAGTATGCTTTTAAATTTTTAAGCTGTATTTTTTGGTGAAATATTCCTTTCTATCAAGCTGCAGTCTACTTTGGTTATCATGCCTGCATGCTGGAGTCAGTGTGCTATTTTAAACTGCCCTCTACAAATAAAGCATTTGGTGAAATCAATAAGTACAGTGCATGGCTCACTCTGGAGCTTTGAAAATGTTCTGTCCAGCACCATCAAACCTTTTGTTTTAAACACTCACTCCAGTGTTTTGTGTGGAAATAGCAGCCGGGTGAAAAAATGTGGTTTAACAGCATATTATTACCAGTCATCAAACTTCAGAGCCTAAAAAAAATGGGACAGGAAGGAGAAAGATGCCAGTAGACCATGGAAGGGTTTATGCTTTTACTCCTCCATGGTATACTGATGAAACATATGCACATAATGAAAAAATTAAGAAAGAAAAACAGCTGTAAAATACAAGAAGTCCTGATTCTCAGAACACTTATCTTCAGTTCAAGGAACAACACCTCCATTTTGTCCTCACCACAAAATTATCTTGAAAGACAGATGAGTAAGAACATTTATCCTGCATACCCTGATCCATTTCATCTTGTTTTCCAGCTGATGACCAAAGAGATAGCAGCAACAGTATTTCCCCTTTCTGTTTTCCCACTTTGTTTAATGAACCACTCCATTAAAGCAAGACATTAATGAGAAGATGAAAAAACATTTGAGCCCATAAACTGAAAGATCAACAAGTCTGATTTTATTATGATATTGTATTCTTATCTGGATGGCACATAATTACAAAGAAACATTTACAATTTATTTTCAAGTATTAACTTATGTCATTTCAAGGCTTTCATTTCAAAAAGCTACATTAATAATACACCATAGAGATAGTACAGTCGGTTAGAGTTCCAAATAACTTCCTCCCCTCTATTTGGTTTAAATATGATTCAGTAGGCACTAGAAATGCCTGCAGCCACTAACCTTCTTGAGACTTGACCTTGTTCTTGTACCACAACACATTTTGCATGTCAGAAAATCAGCTACTCTCAGACCCAGCTCACGGGTCATGTCCTGATCGAGCGATGTGCAGGTTCACAGCAGAGACCAGAACTATGTTCCTGACCCTCCCATTAGCAGTGATGCAGCAAGAAAGAATGCATATTCAAGTTAACTTAACAGAACACTTCTACACTGAAGTAACCATAAAAATGCCACTGTAACATCCCAGACTTGCTACATTAGTGTTCCCCTTTTCATCAAGCATGTTAAACTACAAAATAAAGCAGGTTCATGAAGCCTGAGCTAGGCAGGCTGAGCCTAGGTTGGATCTAACTCAATTATTTCCACTTTGCACATCAGCCAGTGCAGGTCCTGACTCCTGTGGCACTGGTATAACCCATCAGTTACAGCAGGGTTACACAGCTTATGACTGAACCTTTGAACAGCCCTGTTGATGCCACCACAGAGGCGTAAGGTAACACGTATCCCACTTAGTCTTTTGTGCTGGCAATAGACCCTGAACAGATGGAATTCTGCATACAGTGAAGTAAAACCTGTGTAATAGGATATTGTCTTTAAAAAAACATCGTCTTGGATGGCACTAAATGATCCCAGCATTCAACTTTTTTGTTTGTTTTTAACCAAAGACAGCAAAAGCCCTGTTACCTCTTTATTCTCATTTCTTATACTACCTTTTAAAATAAAGCAGGAAATGTGGCCAGCAGCTGGTCCCGTCTCTTCCGCCCCAACACAGCTGAATCCACTTTAGCATAAAGAAAAACAAGGATG